TCTCTCTCTCTCTCTCTCTCGCTTTCATAGATCTGAGTTTAGCAGTGTTTCAGTTTATATGGTCTAGATCTACCAAGTTTGAACTTGTCTAGTTGGGCTTGGCTTGGGTCTAGCTGTTGTGCTTGGCTTCTTCCTGCCACAGCCTGTGGAAGTGAACCCACTGTGCTCCACTGACAAGCTGTTCTGCTCCTGGATTAGCTGGCTGGATCTCATCCCTAGCCCCTCTGCTGGGAGCTCCACTTCTGGGTTCCATCCTCGGTCTGATCACTGGCCAGAGGGAGGTCCTGGTGGGCAGCAGGACCCACGTACCAGACCTGGCTGCTGGCTGGAGGTGGGAGGTTCCGACCAGTCATGGGGCCTGGTTGCCAGTTGAAGGCCAGAGATGGGAGGTTCTGGTGGGGCACAGGGCCTGGAGGCAAGCGGTCCCAGCAGGTCATGGGCCCAGGAGCCTGGCTGTAGGTGGGAGCTCTGTGTTCTTTAAAAACTAAAAAAGTGGGTCATTATGCACAGTTTCTCCAATGACTATGTCTGCAAACCTATCCTGAAGAATTTGATGTTCTGGCCACTAATGAGGTTACCTCTCTTCTTTCACTAACTCCAAGGCAGATGGGATTTACTCTTAAAGAATGAATCCTGAAATTAAGACCAAGTAAAGTACAAGAACCCATACAATCTCTGGTAAAAAGTAAGTGGCAATCTACTGCCTTGCTTTTACAAGACTTTAAGTTAAGAATCTTTAAGAAAAAGATGGGCATTTTTTGGTGTTCTGCTCACTTCCCATATCAGCCCTATGAAAAGGTGAGTGGGAAAACAGGGCCACACACAGAATGTAAAAGTAGGGGTTCTGAGGAAAAGCTGTGGTTCTTGGCTTACTGTGCCCTTCCTGTCCGGTGGTTTTCAGGAGACAGCATAACAGGACATGGTGTCACAGGTAGGTGGTGGGCACTGGGGTATTTTCAGAGGGAGGGAATGAAGGGGTAAGAGAGCTGAGCAGGCCTTGTTCTTACCTAGGCCCAGCTTGCCAAGGAGCAGCAGGAAGGTTGATTGTGGGCATGTAGCTTCAGTTCTGCTTTCCAGCAGTCCTGACAGCATGTGTTTGCTTTCCCCCCCCCCCCCCCCCGCAACTTACCCTGTGAGGGAGACTGAGGTTTCTTGGGCTGGAACGCAGCACATGCAGGGCGTGGTGGGGGCAGCGGGGGTCTACTGCAGGCAAGCAGTTCTCCATCAGGCTCCAGCTCGGTCCCAGGGATAAACATGTACAGGTCATCATAGGGGTCTTCAGAGCAGTCACTGGCTTCCTCTGCGGGGCTGAGCAGTGTCTTCTCACCTGGCCCAGGTTCCTGCTTCTCCCCTGTCTCCTCAGTGACTTCCGTGATGTCCTCACTCTGCCTGGGTGTCCTCCTGCTTCCTTGGTGCAGGTACAAGGTTGGACTCACTGAGGCTGTGCGGGAGGAGACTGTCACCTCATAGGCACACAGGACGAGCTCAGCTTCCTCCACTAAGCCCTCCATCCCACCCTGAACTTTCTCCCAGACAGGCAGTCAGCTGCTTTTGCCTCCAGAACCTCTTCCCTTGGTTTTATACGCAGTAAATGCTCTTTAAGCACTCAAGGAGAGCATAGCAAAAATACTACAATGGAATAACTTTAAATCTTAAGAAAACCTTAAATTTCTTTTGTTTAAAAAACAACAAACAAACAAACACCTCTAGAGAAAGGATTCCAAACAATTGATAGACCTTAGAATTTCCAGTCAGTAGAACCTCTACAGCAGATTTTGGACTATATAAATTATTCTTTTCAATGCAAATATTTGTTTTATGATGTTACTAAACTAAAATATTGCTTAAAAAGTCAAGTGGTGGGGTGCAGAGACAAAGTACTTTTCTTAAAAAAAAGTCAAGAGTTATGTGGTACAAAACTTTCAGCAATGGGAAGAAAAATAGCTATTTGGAGAAATCACACCCAGCATGGTCTCCAGATGGATACCTGGACTTTTATTTATTTATTTTTATTTCTTTCATGTGAGAAGAAGAAAGCTACAGTTTCCATGGCTGAAACTGAACCAGGCCCTTAGTTAGCAGCCTGGGCAGAGCAGAGGCTCCTGTCTGGATGCTCTAGCTATGTGGGGCTCGTTCCTCTTGCTGCTTCTAATTCCCAGACATCAATCTTGTTAAGAGGAGTCCCTAAGATGTGACGGGCAGGTGGTAGACTCTGGGGCCACTCCGTGCTGTCTGGGCAAGTGGGCAATCGGCTCGGAGCGACAGTGATGCATCCCTGTAGCCACACTTGAGCGTGAGCTGACGTTACTCACAGGTGCACTTTTGTATTCTATGCTTCTTGAAACCGTGCAAGGGAGTCTCTGAGAAGCCCATTAAACATGGAAACCTGCTGTAATGGTTGCCACACTGCATCAACTTGAGAAGCTTAGAAGCTTAATGGAGTGATTTAGAAGGGGGTACTGTACTCTAGGATGTGGTAACGCTTGATTCATCTGGTTGGCGTGACTCAGTGGGGGCTAGCTTCCTCACTTTGTAAACACCCTGAGCCTGTGCAAGAGGAGGTCGGAGAGATGGCCTGAGTACTGCACCTGAGGGCGGGTGTGCTGTTTACAGTGTAAGGAGGAAAAGACGCTTGTTCTCCCCACCACTTTTTTTCGTTTATTTTCCTCTTGTTGCTTTTGCTGTCTTCTGCTGCTATGACCAGCTGCCCCTTTGCCATGCCGCCCTGCTTTGGAGCCAGCTGACTATGGACTGAAACCTCTACAGACTGTGAGCTAAATAAACCCTTCCCTTCTTTAACTTTGAGAGTCCTGCATTTTGTCCTAGCACTGAGAGAAAAGTCACTAACACACCTGGTCCCGCGAGCACTAGGTTGGGTGGGCAGTGGGTGTTGGCCTGCTGTGCATTTGTGGTGATGCCAGTGGAAATCACTTGACTCAGGGGTTGTACGCCTTACTCCTCCATGTGAGTTGGGGGGCTGAGCCTCATCATACCGTTTCATACACATGCAGTCTTTATTTCCAAACTGCGGATACAGTTTTCTTCACAAACTACTGAAATGCTCTTTTATTATTAAAGGCATTTTTTTCCAGAGGATTAAATATAATGATACATGTCTGGTCAGTATCAGTGATGACCTTATCACCTTTGTTAACATTCAACAATAAAATATGTAGCAGAAAACTTGATGCATTAATGTAATATTTAGCTTTTGTGTGTCTTCCAATAGTGTTTGAAGGCAATTACGGATTTCAACAATATATGTACTGAGCATTGGCCTAAATTTTATTTGATGTGCATGTCAGCCACCATCATTTCAAAAGACTTGTGGTTGTCAGTGTCCCATCCCTCTTTATAGATGCTACACATGTGATCAAAGCAGTGAATGCAGCCAGGCCCAGCTTCTTCCAGTGTGTATTTTGGGAAAGAAGCCATAAACCATAATAAGCTGCAGGAAACACAATGTGTACTGATGGTAAGAAGCAGGTGGAGGAAAGAAAGAGCAGTGGTGAACTCAGGCCTGCAGTGGCTGGAATTTAAAGTGCTGAGCTTTGTGCAGTGTAGGGCTTCTTCAGGAATCACAGAGTGAGGGCCGACAGGTATGCATGCTGCTTTCCTGCCCTTTCTAAACAGCAGGACCACATGGATTGTTTGGACTGAGTAACCCTTGGTGTGATTTCCGAATGCATTCCTGTGTCTGTGCCCACTGAGTACCAGTACTGCCCTCTTCCCCGAGACATACGAATGCAAATGTATCCACCTGATGTGGCAAGAGGGTGAGGATGAGCAATTGCTGAGCTCTGGGGATATATCTGAAGGTAGAGTGAAGGGTGTTATGTAGATTGGATGTGGGCTGGGAGGGAAGTGGCATGAAGAAGCAGGAAGGATCCTGTGGGCATGCAGGAAGGAGTTCCACCTTCTCCCTGCCACCAGCAGGTCAGGCAGGTGCTGTGGGAGTGGTGCTGCTCTGTGTGTTCAGGGGACATGAGTGGTAGACACCCTGCAAGGCAGGCTCATGGAAGCTGCTAGAGGTGACCTGGACTTGGTCTCAGACCTGGAAAGACAGAACAGCAGGTCTTACTGCAGCAGGACCTACTGTCCAGTCCACAGTTTTCATTCTGGAAGAGGAAATGCAGGTCAGCAAAGAATGTGGACACCCTGTGAAAAGATACTTGCAAAAGACAGTAGCCAAGCAGAAAACTGTATATCAGGGTGACTTGTGTATTTTCTTCTGAGTAGGAAAATTAGTGTTCAATTATTAGACCTTGAACTTATGAAAGTATATAAATCAGCAAGTGCAGTAGCATCTCCATCATATTATAAGTTAAAAGTCATTCAGTTAAAGTTATTTCACAGCTTTTCATATCCTCTTGAGGTATACTTTCCCATTACATAAATCAAAACATAAAAGATACACACATGGGCACACACACATGCATACACACGTGTGCACCCACATATAACATGGAAGGAGACTCACGGGGAGAGTGTGCAGAAAGTGAAATTCTGTCCTCTTCATAGTCATGTAATTGCTCATTATTTCTACTGACTTCTTCAGTCTGAAAAACAAATGTAATTTTGAATAATGCAGATTAATTCTAAGTCTTCAGTTGATATCTGTACCAATAAGAAATTGTGCACTCTTAGTAAGTGTTTCCGTGCTAGCATACACATGCCTCGGCAGGGTCTTTGTTTGTAATCTCTGCAAGGGACACAAAGTTCACAGTCCTGGAGCTCACAAGTGCTGAGTGACACATAGGACTGAAAACTGGGTGAGAAAGTAGAGCAACTGAGGGGGAATGAAAATTTTTAAATAAAATTAAACACAATGATTTCTCTTAAAAACCATGGGCTTTGTTTCCCTTTTACATTTCTGTATCTTTACATTAAAAAAGTTATCTTTAATGACATGCAATATTATAATACAATGAAAACAATGAACTTATTGCAGGTATGTCTTTTCCATCTTTAAGAGGAAAATATAAAGTAAGAGTGCTGGAATCAGTTTCCCCATCTTCCCTCTCTCTCTGTATCTCTCTGTCTCTGTCTCTGTATTTGTCTGTATCTGACACTGTCTCTATCTCTGTCTCCCCTTCCCCCCATTTCTCTGTGCATTTCTGGGTGATGCAGATAGAATCAGGGTATCACATATGCTCTGCATATCCTTTACCACAGAACCACCTATTTCTATTTTGCTTAGAATTACTGCAAATGACAGAAACTTGCTATTTCTGGGCTTGCTGGTCTTTGCCAATAATCTCTGGAGAAGACACAAATCTAGAGTTGTGACATGTGCTGGCACTCACAGAGAAAGCTTGGCGCCACACATAACATCTTGTGTCTGTCTCAGAACACCTAGGCAAAGGGATGGGCTCTGGCTAACATGTTCCAAGTCACTACTTGAATGATTTAGGGTTTTGTTGTTAATAAAACTGATTTGAATTATTAGGCCACTTGCTCTACATGAAGAATATCTGTATTTGTGTATTTACATTATGTAGAAGCCGTGGTGTATGAAGCTATAAAACCTGTATGCTGGCTTCTCCAAGATAGTTTATCATCTGCTTTGGCCAGTGAGGTCCCTCATTTTGTTTTTTGCTTTAATAATGTATAATTGCAGGGAAGCAACATCATCCCTGAGTTATAGTGGAATTGTAAGAATCAAAACCTCTGTGGTGTTTTTAGGGAGCTGAAATAAATAACCCATTTTATATTCCAATCTTGTTTTTTCATTGGTGGATTTTGCATAATGCTGACATGAAAATAGTCATGTAGTTTAGTATTTTGAGTGGCATGAAGAAAGAAGTTCCTATGCTTTGGGAGTAAAGTCATTGTTTAATGTAGCTATTCTTTGTTTCCAATTAGTCTATCCCATATATTTCATAAGGTAGATCAAGCAAGCATCTGTTTAAAAAAATTTCAGAGGGGGGACTATAATACATAGGTAGGAATATTGTGGGCAGTCAGATAGGGCTGTGCCCTGGAGATGTCAATGCAGAAGTCAACTGTGGCTGGAAGCAGATTCACTGAAGGCTTCAAGATAAGGAGCTACTACTCGGCATACACTTCCCCCAGGGATGAACAGCAGTGACTGGTATTCTAAGTAAGCATCAGTCACCTTGGGGTAAAGATCTAAGCTCCTTGTCTACCCCTCCTAGGAAAGTCCTTGTCTACCCTCTTGCACTTGCTACATGACCTTCTTCCCCATTTGATTCCATGTAATCAATGTTACCTAGAAATATACTTGTACACTTACCGGTTAACCACAGTTTTGCCCCACCTCTCACACATCGTATGATTTGCTATTAGATCAATATTACCTTGTGACTATACTTGTAATCATATTGATTGGTTAGAGTTCTGTCCCTCCTTAAACCCACCTCACTTCATAACTTTGTTCAATAAATGCCTTTGAGAAATGGGGTTGGTGGACAACTCACTTTCTGGGCCCTCTTCTGTCCCTCTTAGACAGAAACTTTCATTCTTTCAAACATTTTCTTTACTCTTAAAAAAATTCATAGTACTCTCAAAAGCACACCAAGGAATGCTTTTGCCAGTTGACTACAAGGAATTGTATCCACAGATTTATAACAGTTGAGAAAATTCCTATGTATTATTCACTAGCTTAGGCATTATGAGCTCAAAATCACTGTAAAATAATAAAAACTAATAAAAGACTCTGGGCCAGTGTTAAATGTGTACATGTGTATTAAAATCATCCTTTTGTCATAACTTAGGCTATATGACATTTGTACAATCAGCAAACATCCCAAACCCAAGTATCTCAAATAAATTTGCTTCCAGTTTTTTAAAAACAACCTAGTTTTCTTGACTTTAGTACTTCAGTAATTATTACATACAATTCATATATTGTATAATTCCTTCTAATACACATATTTGTTTTCTCAAGCATGAAGTTATCTTTAATAGTGTTTGCACAAAGAAATGAGCTGTCTACATTGACAATCACATTTGAAAAACATGTTACCTGAGTAGGGTGGCAAAAGCCAGTGATTCTAGCATTTGGGGGGCTAAGGCAAGAGGATCATGAATTCAAGGCCAGTCTGAATTACAAAGAGAGACTGTCTCAAAACCTCCTCTCTCCCCTCAAAGAAAATCATTCTAGATCTAATGAGTCATTAGTAACTCTTCAAAAAAAATTCCCAGAACATCTTCACAGAATAGTCTCCTGATGTTTCAACACTAGCCATTTTTATACGTGGCTATGTGGTGTTGCAGACAGAACATAGAATTGGAGTCAATTTAAGAACCAATTGTGTATTTACAGTTTATTAATTGTGTGACACTGGGTGAGACACTCAGCTTGAACCCTCAGTGTTATCCTTGTAACATGTGGATAGTGATTCACGTGTTGCTTGCCCGAGGGATAAATTAGAATAATGTAAGTAAAATAGATGTCTCTTTAGCACAGAGTAGGTGCTGAATAACTGTAATCTGAGCATTGGATTCCTCTTCTTCATATAAAATATAGATCTACTTTTAAGCAAATCTGGTTGCCATTTCTCAGTCTACAGTTTCACATTATTTATTCATTTGAGAAATTTCTAAGCAGGTGTGGTAGATGATTGGCACTCTATTAGTATAAGGAAGCTAAACATTAAAAGATATATAGTACCTACCGTCAAAAGTCACATTTTTAGCCTTTTGTGGTGGGGCATGCCTGCAATAACAGCACTTGTGAGGCTGAGGCAGGAGGATAATCAGGTTTTTGAGGTCAACTTGGGTTACATAGTGAGTTTAAGGCCAGCCTGAACTACACAGGGAGACTTTGTCTCAGAGAGAGAGAGAGAGAGAGAGAGAGAGAGAGAGAGAGAGAGAGAGAGAGAGATTCATAGTTTTAGCTAAGATTTCAGGCATGTGCCACTATGCCTGGACGGTAAGTTTTGTTTTTAATCCACCATGCTTACGGATATTTCCTGTGAGGTACTGGCATCTTTATTGGGCTTTCCACTTGGTTTGACTTTGCCAATCTCTGCCACTAACATGAAAGTTAAAATTAAAATCTAACTTTTTGTTAGGGTTGTCATTATTAATGTGAAAAATAGCTATCTTCATTTGAGACTACAGGTTCTCAAATGCTGACAAGTAGTTAATTCTCTTTCTCACATGCTCACTTAAGAGTAAAACAATGTGTCGCACTAAAAATGTAGCAATTTGGATGTATTTCCCAGCAAACTTTGCAGTTCAGTGCAGTCCAGGAGCTATACTGCCCAGGCCTCTCCACAGGTTGGCTTTTCCTGGGCTCTCTCCTGTCCCTCTCCTCTTCTCACAGACTATGTTTCCAGGTGAGCGCACTGCCTGCCCTTACACAATACTCCTATCCCAAGGACTCATGGGTGTCTTGAGCTCCAGACTTTCCTGAGGTAGAGCCTAGGACTACCAGACCAACTAGTAGACCACTAGAAGGGATGGTCGTGGAAGCAAAGGAAAAACCTGCAAAGAGATGTGTCCAAAATAATTAGGGTAGAGCTTTCAGGAGACTGCAGTACCAAACCATTCACCAAGGATAGAAGGAACAGTTTCCCAAGTGGTTCTTCAGATGGAGGAGAAGGGTACATAGGAGGGGAAGGATAATAAGGAAACCAGTTTTCACAAGTGGACCAGTTCCTCAGGGCAAGGGCATTACATATTGCAAACATACACTAATAAAAATGAAGAAAACTTTTAAAAGACAAATTTTTTTCTGATCAACATTGCTGATAACTCCTGGAAATTTTGTGAATTTAAACTGGACTGAAGGAGCTTATTTTAGCAGTCAAGGTGAAAAGAAATGAGACTGAAGGAAGGAAACATATATACTGGTTAAAAAAAATTATGAGAAAGATCTCAGAAATAATGACCAGAGTTTTTAGAGCTTTTTTGGATGGCAAAAGTTGGAGAACAAGAGTCAAATATGTCCATGTTTGTTCCTGTTCTCTATGCCTGGTAGCTGGCTCTAATGTTTACACTCTCTTTCAGACACTCCTTCAAAGAACTCTGCATTTTCAGATGAGAGCACTGATTAACAATGTCTTTTATTATGAAATATATAATGAGAGTTTGAGGCCAAGATAGAATACGTACATCATAATTTTCCCCTGTTCCTGGAACAGGAACATATTTATACTTGGAGTGTGCATGTGACTACAAAGTGATGAGTCGTTTAGTTGCTTTGTGAGATCAAGAAGTCCCTATCTTGGTAATACAGAAAATATGCTGGTGCCTCGGTTCATGAACACTTTTGCTTGTGAATAATTTGGTTCTCAAAAGCATTCAGGAGAATACTGTTTCTGTTTGTGAATTCTTCATCAGATGACAAATGTGACCACGGCCACCATTCTCACACAAATACAAATGTGGTCATCTTCTCCAGAATTGCAGATAGAAACTGAGTTTTTGAGCTGAGGGGCCACTACAGTTGTATGGTGACCAAATAAACTGTTAATTTTATCAATGAGATATTTACCTATAAAAATAGGTTAATGGGGGCTGGCCAAATAGCTTAGTGGATTAAAGTGCCTGCTTAGGCAGATGTAGGGGTGGGGAGCTTGATCCCTGG